TTAAGAAGAAAACCCAGAAATTCAAGACGTGGGTTGGGTCAAACGATGAGCAAGACAGGAGGATGTATGCAAGAGATAGAAATCAAGCAAAGATAGAGTGTAGAAGAGCTGAAAAGGAGTTTCAGAGGCTGGTTACAAGCGAGGTCAAGTCAAACCCAAAGGCGTTTTACCGCTATGCAAAGTCGAAATTGAAAACGCGAGTAGGAGTATCAGACCTGAGGCTTGAGAATGGTAGTTACGCAGATTCTGACCAGGTTAAAGCTGAGGCATTGAACAGCTTCTTTTCCTCGGTGTTTACAAGAGAGCATGCAATTAACCTTCCTGCATTTGAGGACAGACGGTTCGACACAACACTGACCCACATTGTGTTCACAGAAGAGGGTATAAGAAATAAACTGTCCAGGCTAAAGGTCCATAAGAGTCTCGGCCCTGACATGATGCATCTTAGAGTGCTAAGAGAGTTGTGCAACGAGCTTGCGAAGCCCCTGAGGATCCTGTTTTGTAAATGCCTGGATGAACAAATGGTCCCCAGTGAATGGAAAGTGGCTTATGTGTCTCCTATCTTCATGAAGGGCGATCGTCTCTCCATAAGGTAAAATAACTCACCTCAATCTTGTTACAGGAACATCGTTATGTCAACTTCTTCTTGTGCGATTCGTGCAGTCTGTTGTGAGTGTGAAGTTGATGCAACACCAATTCTACCACCAGACGAATAGAGAATATCAGACTTGAAGTTCGTTATCATTCGATCCGTTATACGCATATCCTTACAACAGATTGAATTCTCGAAGAGATGCGCTCGGATTCTGATAATTGCATCTAGAAGATTGATTTGCATTCTGTTTCTTGGTTTTGTTTTGATTGCAGTTACCAGAGATAATGTTCGTTCAACAATAGCATTGCTTGCTGGTGTGACTAGGCAATTAAGTGCATAAGCTGCCAATTCCTTGAAGTTTATCATGATGATAGACACCAAGCCAAAATTTGGTTGTGTTGTAGTGGATTTCTCCCCTACAAACGCTGTTTGTCGCCGAGTAGCCGACCCCACCAATTCCCCAGTGCATGTGTAGTGGACGTCTCCCCTACAACTGCGTATCGCATTCCGACGCGCCGCCGTATCCTAGCAACCAAGCGAGAGCTGACACCAGATGGTACGGTAACCTAGCAACGAAACTAGACACCGGCGACTTTCTGGGTTTTCCCAACATGATTCATAGAGGACTCGCGGCTGCTGCTGGGTATATAAGCTCTGTCTCTCCATTGAGATTCATTCTGCCCATCTTCCTGAACAAGCAACACCTCCTCCAGCAAGCTCCATGCTGTCAGCATTCATTCAACCAGGAGGCCAGCAACAGGCAACATCTTCTCTAACGAAGCTCCTGCACATCTACCTCCTACAACACGCTACTCACCGAACGTCTCTACTGAGCAGCCCCTCACCACACGGCACCTCCAGCACCAGACTGTCTATCATATAACTTATATTATACAAGAAAACCACCACCTAGAGTTTCCATCCATCCTGAGTGCTAGACAACATAATACCACGAACTCCTACACATGCCTCGTGGTCTAGGTCAACCAGCGCCTCCATACATCACGGAGCGGGGGTCAACTACTAAGCCACGCCTACCCAGTGGCGTAGCTAGAGTGTGTGCCGCCCGGGGCGGCCCTTGAGTTTGCCGCCCCCCCCCCCGTGACCCTACAAAAAATACATATTGCACAGTGACTCACTCTTTTATATATATATATATATATATATATATATATATATATATATATATATATATATATATATATATATATATATATATATATATAAATAGTTGCCTTACTGTTGTCAGACAAAAGCCACCCCGATCAAAGTAGGGGGCTTTTGTCTGGGTGGCTTTCGTCTGGGGGGCTTTTGTCTGGGTGGCTTTTGTCGGGGGGGCTTTTGTCTGTACCCCAGTGAGGATAGTGTCTTAGTATAAAATCGCAATGCTGTGAAACAAAATCTTAATATTTAATCTCAGTACCGCAGCAAAAGTCACATCAATATTTTTTAACCAATACTTTAATATTTCTTACCTTATAGTATTATGTCTTCCAACGAAGTAAATAACTGGATCGAAAACACAAGAGAACTTAAAAGTCGTCTAGCCTCCCCTCGTCTTGTCACGATGGAGACTTGTGGAGAACTGAAGTGAATTGCTTGTAACTGGTGGATTGGTCGGCTGTACATGAACTGATATGACCCGAGACTGCATGGTTTTGCAGCTACTGGAGACGTTAATCCTTCCCTTTGTATCGGCGGCAAGTTAATCCTCGTCGTGTCTGACCTAACACCTGACCCACACCACATGAGCTCACTGGCGTACTTGTTTGAAGTTGTTTCCTTAATCCTCAACAGGTTACAGGTTGTGTGTGTGGGGGGGGGGCATAGCAAGGGTGTACGTAGCTCATGACGTGGCCGTGATGATGTGGGTCAGGTGTTAGGTCAGACACGACAAGGATTAACTTGCCGCCGATACAAAGGGAAGGATTAACGTCTCCAGTAGCTGCAGATATGGGTGATGAGCAGACCCAAAAGTGCCGCCCCCAAAGTGCCCCCCCCCCCCTAGCTACGCTAGTGCCCCCCCCGCTATTTAAGACCTGACCTCGTGGTGACCTCTTTTTCTACCTACACCAACCAGCCAGCAACACCACACCTCCTCCTCCGCCTGCCTGGCGGTCCTCGCTCCCGCCGGCGAGCATGGCGACCCACAAACTGTCCTCCTGTGAGCATCCTCACCAACCAGCTCTCTCTACATCACGCTTGTAACCACGCTGCCACTTCCCAGCACCAAGCTGCATTGTACATCCAATACAACATGTATATAGAGAGCAAATTGTGAGTTTCCTTTCTCCATTCCATCCTGAGTGTGAACACAAACATCTCATACCCCACAAATGGTGACCCCCGGAGATTCGCACTCACACAGGATGGAGGAGAAACAGATCACGCTCCCAGTCTTCAAGCAACATGGAAGACTAGCTTATCCACCCAGAAGCAGCTCTCATCGGCTCTACAACTACTATCTCTATACCGCAGGTTAGACACCCTAGAGCAGCACTGTTTCTCTAAGCAGACACCATCTCCTCTTCCTGCCCCAAGCACCACGTCCTACCGACCCCAACACACCCGTCCTGCCTCAGACGCCGACTCCGGCCCAGCAGTAACCCCTGCCGCCCCTGACGCGGCCTCTGTTCCTGAGTGTGGACCCACACACCCCTCTTTTCTCCCTCAGGTACTCCCTGCTAATGTCCTGCACCCTGCTGCTGTCGTGGACCCAGTTGCTGTCACGAGCCCTCATCCGCTTCTGCTGACGCAGCCTCTGCTCCTGACCCAGGCCCACACACCTCAGCAGGCGCATCTGACGACTCTGTACCTGCCGTGAGGGAAGCACAACATTCATCGCCTCCACACACCCTTTTTCTCCCTCTCTTCTCCCACAGATAGTGTGTATATAGACAGTTGTATCCAGCGACCGGCTCATCCACGCCATCGCCGTTCTGCCTCACATGTGCTAAGCAACCCTGCAGACAACAAGTCTCCTACACCGCCTGGAGGGAAGGGGTAGTATTGTAGTGGATTTCTCCCCTACAAACGCTGTTTGTCGCCGAGTGGCCGACCCCACCAATTCCCCAGTGTATGCCTCGTGGTCTAGGTCAACCAGCGCCGCCATACATCACGGAGCGGGGCTCAACTACTAAGCCACGCCTACCCCCGCTATTTAAGACCTGACCTCGTGGTGACCTGTCTCTTTCTACCTACAGCCGCAGCCAGCAACACCTCCTCCTCCGCCGCTGCCTGGCGGCCCTCGCTCCTCCTCCGCCTGCCTGGCGGTCCTCTCTCCCGCCGGCGAGCATGGCGACCCACAAGCTGTCCTCTGAGAATCCTCACCAACCAGCTCTCTCTACATCACGCTTGTAACCATGCTGCCTTCCCAGCACCAAGCTGCATTGTACATCCAATACAACATTGAGAGTTTCCTTTCTCCAACCCATCCTGAGTGTGAACCAAAACACCTTGAACCCCACAGTGTCATCTGAAATTTCATTGTTTTCAAACACATTTTCTAGTCTCCAATCTGTTACAGTAATTTTCCGATATTGTTCTATTTCATCTGAATTATTTTTAGCTAAATGTAACATAGGTAAATCTGAAAAATCACCTTTAGCTGTTTGGTTTAATACCTTCGAAGGATTAAGTAATGAAAGATTTTTGAATGCTTCAGCTGCATTGCACAATCTGGAACCCACTTGATCGATGGCCTCAACAATAAATATACAGCATCTTCTTTTAACATCAAGGACTTTGTTTTCTTCTTCTTTAACTTGTTGTCTCTCCTTGAACTCCTTTAGATGACTATTAACCTCTTGCTGAAATTTGGCTCCAAAATCAATTTTTTCAATGCCTTTGTCTGTACCATCATTATTGTAAATTCTATTGCAAAGAGTTTTTCTGAGTGCCCGCCGGACACCGGCTGCCCGGCGGGCCGGCACTCCGTTCAGTCTACGTGTTGTAAACTCGTTCAATACGCGTTTAGTACGTACTTAAAAAAAATGGCCAAATTTTGAATATGGCCAAATCGAAAAGGCCAATCTGGCAACCCTGATACAGAAAGCGCATTGTGAGTTTCTATCCTACCTCATTCCTGAGTGTGAGATACCTACATGTACGTACTTTTGTGTGCCCATACTAAGAGAATTGACTACTGGCCACATACAGTACGCCACGCTACCAAAGTGTAATTTCCGTTGAATTCCCTTTTTATATTCATGACGTATTTGAAATACAAAACAAAACGGTGTCAGTCATAATGTAGCACGTTTGTTTTGTTTCCCCCCCCAAAAGTAACATGAACTAGGTAGCCGGTAAAAAAAGTACAATACTAACCATGTTGCAAAAACGCTTGCATGGTTCTGCTATTTTTAGCATAATTTTATCGCAAGTTTAGCGCTTATTGTCGTCAATATCTGGTAACACTGGATGGAGGAAAACAGTGAACATGGCGAAGGTGTGACGTATGTACCAAGATCAACTGGATTAAAATATAACACCACAGATGATCAGCCGAGTCTGGTGATTGGAACGAGACATCGCATTAAGAAAGTTGTGTACTATGTAAGATTGATTATAAAATTAAATGTAAGTGCATTCCAAGTTTCCATTTCTTAATTGTTGGTGCAGTATTTTTTGTTTACATTATCAGAAGAGGATAAAGTCATTATTGCAGTTTCGGCCAATACTCGGCCGACTGTTTTAACCATCCTCAACCTTTAGATCTTATTTGGAGTATTTCTAACCCCACTTCAGCCAGGGGGGCAAAGAATAATAACTTTGACCTGCGACTTCTAATTCAGGTATTGTACTGATGGGGTCTGCCCATTTCGTCACCAACCCGTTTCGTCACCACTGCTTTACCCGTATCGTCACTGCATTCATTCCCATCAATATATACACGAAAATAACCATGAAGACAACTTATTAAACACGAAAATATAAAATTTAAACATTGTTAATACTCCTGCAACCATCTCACTTAAACAATATGTGAAAGATTAAAAACATAAATAAAAATAAAAACATTGTTAATACTCATGTAAGCTTGAGAGAAGAAGACACTGACATTTTTTTTGAAATTTTTTTTAGGAAATTAGAAGTGGTGAAACTATTTCCTTCATAGTCACCCCACAGCTTCCAGAGATGGACTTGTTTGTCACGACTTGCTTTTCTTGTGCAGTATTTTAACTTGTGCTCAGCAACTAATTGTAATTGCAAATCAACCATTGAGCCTTCTCTGTGAAGAAGGTAGAGTGAGATTGTTCTTTGCTGCTTGGTGGTTTATGCTCTGGTGCCAAATCACCTTGATTTGTTTTGTATTTTGTTTATTTACCAATGTTTTAATCGTTTTCCGTATTAAATAATTAATATTCATGTATAATAATAACACAATACTTCTCGAGTCGTCTGTATACATGTGTAATTTCTATTTGTGTACAATAATAACTTATAATTTGTCACTAATGCCGTCTACTGTTAGTGGTGACGAAACGGACTTGATATTGGTGACAAAATGGGGTTTTGGTGACAAACCGGGATGGTGACGAAATGGGGTGTATCCGTAACGATTTGGGGGTTAGGTTAGGTTTGGTTAGTTTAAAGTAAGTTAGGTTTGTATTATTGCAGTTTCGACCAATACACGGCCGATTGTTTTAAACATCCCAACCTTTAAATCTCCTTATTTGGAGTATTTCTAACGGTCATTTTTCGTTAACCACCTATCACTTTTTTACGATTTTTTTCTCTTAATAGATCTCTTCAAGAAACAAAAGAATATACGGTAATGGTATAGTTTAGGGCGAACACCAGAAGGAGTTTGTTGATTTTATGTATTTTTGCCATACACCTGTACTTATTATTTTGATGATTTTAAGTATATTAAAAGAAACTACTACTTTCTAGCATAATTTTAAGCATTTTTTTGTTTATTTTTTATTTACTCTATCCCGCTTCACAATTCTCCTCCCGGTGCCATTTTTGTTGTTTACCTCGCTGAATCCCTCTTCAAGAGACGTTTCCTATAAACGATGGTGAACGCTTCCACGAATTCCTCCTCACCATTGCTGATTTACATTAACCTCAATATTGCGGTAAGTTGTTTAACACATAAATTAACACGAACAGGTAATGCATAGAACCTAATATAAACTGACCTAATATACCCAATCTATGGGTATGTTAGGTCAGGTTCTATTAGGTTCTATGCATTGTCATTTACATTTCTGTGTTTATTAGCATGCTATTAGTGTGTAGAAAGAATTTCAGCGATTTCTACAAACTCCTTCTAGTGTTAGCCCTAAACTACACCTTTACCGAATATACTTGAATTGGTTATTTTTCGTTAACCACCCATCACCTTTTTTCACATGAAAAATAAATTTTTTCGCTAGTTTTCTTGCTGTTTTAGATGATTCTGACATTTATCTTTGGGACAAATAATATTTTTTTTTAGTTACGTTTTGTTAGGCTAGGTTGGTTGGTTGGTTCCTATGGTATGAGAATAGGTTATTTTGGGGGTGTTTTGCTCAAATGTGACCTCCATTTTTTGCAAATTAGCAGTTTCTGTAAAATGAAAATGTTAATTTTTTGCCAAAAATGTAAAGGTGTAGATAACGGCTACCACCAGAAGGAATTGTCTGAATTGGTTTAAATTTTTTCTACACACTGATATCATGATATTAAACACAAAAATGGAAACGACAATGTATAGAACCTAATGGAACCTGACCTAACATACCCATAGGTTGGGTATGTTAGGTCAGGTTGTATTGGGTTCTATGCATTATCGTGTTAATTTATGTGTTAAATAACTTACCTTAATATTGAGGTTAATGTAAATCAGCAATGGCGAGGAGGAATTCATGGAAGCGTTCACCATCGTTTATAGGAAACGTCTCTTGAAGAGGGATTCAGCGAGGTAAACAACAAAAATGGCGCTGGGAGGAGAATTGTGAAGTGGGATAGAGTAAATACAAAAATGAAAATTAAAAACTTAAAATCATAATAAAAAATATATATTTTATTTAATATACTTAAAATCATCAAAACAATAAGTACAGCAAAATTAAGAAAATCAACAAACACCTTCTGATGATAGCCGTTATCTACACCTTTACCGCAATTTTGTTTTAATTTGCACAAAAAATGATTGTCAGATTTGAGTAATACACCAAAAATAACCTATTCTCATACCAAAGGAACCAACGTAACATAACCGAACTAAAAAAAAGAAGAGTGATTCGCACCAAAGATAAATGTCAGAATCATCTAAAACAGCAAGAAAGCTGGTGAAAAAATTTATTTTTTATTTAAAAAAGGTGATGGGTGGATAACAAAAAATAAGCCTTGAATTTAGCAAGGCATTCCAAAAATAAATGTGATATTTGCGATTTTGTTGTTGTAATAATCACAAATTTTTCTAAATCCTAATATGATCTTATGGTGACATGCAGCGTCGGTCTCATTTGTTTGTTTGTGTGTTAGCACGTCTTGATGCGTGGGTGGAGGGAAATTATAAACGATGCGACCTGTTAGATAAGGTCAGGTCAGGTTTGGACGTGGCCTGTTAGGTTAGGTCAAGTAAGGTTAGTTTAGCACGTAGACCTAGTTTAGTTTTAACCTTTTTTTCCCGTGAAAAATATATCTTTTTGCTAGGCTTCTTGGTGTTTTAGATGATTCTGCTGAAGCTGTTTAATTTCTTAATATACAATGAACCCTCACTTTACGCGGTCAATTGAACCCACGGCGGCCCGCGTAAAGTGAGAAACGCGTAAAGTGAACAACATAACATATTGGATTAATTGAAATAGAGACTGGGCCGACCCCCAAACTCCACTTTTTCAGACACAATACCTACGTTGTAGTAAAAATAACTTCTTAATTTTATGATGGTATGCACACACAATTAATAATTAAGAGAAATATCAATAATATTAGGTTTTTTAACACTTACATTAGTAGAAAAGATGGCTGGGCACACGGGGATGGGGGGTTGGTTCCGAGGCAGAGGGCAGATTATTGGCCCTCACCTGTATCACTTGTATCAATTGTATCACTATCCACCACAGAGGCTTGCAGGGCCTCTTTGTCAAACCCCTCAAAGTCCATATAAGTCCATATCCTCAATATCATTATCACTATCACTGACTTGGGCCGGCTGTGGTGGGTGGCGGGTGAAGAACTCGGTAATGTTTTGATGACTGGGCGACCTTGTGCGCACCCTGCTTGCGCCGCTCTCCGCGTAAAAGGGTACACACACCGCGGAAAGTGAGCATTCCGGTTTCGGCAGGGTACCGCGTAAACGTGGAAACGCGTAAAGTGAAACCGCTTAAAGCGGGGGTTTACTGTATAAGGAGTAAGAGGAGAACAGATTATCCCAACTGTTACTCAACTCCGGTGTAACTAGTAACTTCTTTTTACAGTAACAGTACAGTGACCCCTCCGTTAACGAACTCAATCCGTTCCAGAAGGTCGTTCGTTAATCGAAAAGTTTGTTAACTGAAACCATTGTTTCAATGGGTTTTTGGGTAATTGGTTCCAGCTCACCGAAAATTTCCTAAATTCAACAAAAATGGTAGAAAAGTTCACTTACTTTGAGGTGTGTAAGTAGAAGGCTCCTGGATGATGATGATGGGATTTAGAATGGGGGTGGAGGAGAAGGAAGAAGAGAAGGCATTGGGGTGGAAGAGAAGTCACCCCATGGCGCCATTTCACCCATAAAATTTTAGCTCTCTTGGTGTAATTCAAGATTATTTTCTTTAAATCAACACTGCACTGCATTATATATTGTCAATATGTAAAATATATTTCAAAATGACCAATAATTGGCTTGGAAACACACAAAAAAAGCGTTTAGTTGAAGAGTCTCAAGCAAGATGTTACCTCCAGTGAAAACAGAGAGAGACTAACTCCTGTTTGCTGTGTTAAGAGGCTGGATGCCACGCATTAAACTAGTCACTTTACCTTCAATTATGTTCAATAATTGTTAAAATGACTATAAAATTGAATATTAAACTTTTAAAATTATTGAATAGTATAAACTTCTTGATATTTACTAAAATAGTAAGGAATTTAAGCCCTAGAACCAATTAATGTATTGGCGGACTGATACTAAAGCTGGTTGCCCGGTCAGTGCAAGCGAAAACATGTTGAGGTCGGTTCGTAAGAACTTCGTTAACCGAATTTTTTTTCGTTAACCGAATTGAAGATCCTTATGGAAGGCAGTTCGTTAATCGAAATTACGTTAACCGAGGTGTTCGTTAAACGAGGGGTCACTGTATAACACAGTAAAGGGAAGAACATAATATCTCTACCTTTACCAAGTGTGTATCTGTTGGGTGACTGTTACTTTGTATAGCAACTACTGTACTTGTGAAGCTTTCATGTATGTAACAACCTTCCTGGGTTGTCACCACTTGTAACAATCACTTGTGAAGCATGTTACCTTATATTCTAGATCAGGGGTCACCAAACTACGGCCCGCGGGCCGGATCCCAAGTCCTTCCCCGGCTCGTGGTAGCTCCGCCTACGCTCTGACGTTACCAGAGCTTTCGTTCTGGCTTGCAAGTATTGAACAGAATGATTAT